CTTGCAACACTACCACTTGGCCCCAGCGTCATGAGAAAGCAGGAAAGGATTTCCTTTTAGAATGTGATGAAGGAGACATGACAAAGACAAGCCTTCAGTCACATTAAAAGCTAATGTGCTTGGGTCTTAATTCATGCTGGGCGATGGCCTGAGTACTCGCTATGCGGTGGTTCGCTCAGACTCCAACACCCTACGCAAGGAAGACATTACTGTGAACTCTGTTTCACAGAAGAGCAAACTGAGGTAAGAGGTGCTGTAACTCTCCAATTCTACATGGCTAGAAACTAGCAAAGCCACACACCCAAGCATCTGGCCTTGAAGCCTCTCTGCATATAACCAATTGCATTAACTCTTTAGTGGTGTGACTGTAGGGTTGGCGAGGCCCCCAGGCCCTCAGCCCCACATCCCACAGGTAAGGATTTTAACCAGTTGACAGATGGCAGCCAACAGGACTTTTCGCAAACAGGTCCAGATGGAGGCTGCACAATTGCCTTCATAATTCACAGGAACATCACTGCCACCAATACATGCTATTCACATGTTTATGGGACTTGAAAGGCAACAGGTTACAGGAGACAGGGTGTCCTTTTCCTGTTTTTCTCTTTGGTTTATCTCTTTCTTATCTTTTATACATAATGGACATTTTAAAGGTTTTTTATGTGCTGCAAATATCTTCTCCCTGTATGTGCATGCCTTTTATCTTTGTTTGTGGAGGTTTTCCTGACACAGAGTGGGTTTTTCATTTTTATGTTGTTTCATCTGTGATTCTTTTCTTTTGTGACTTTGGGGCCTCTTCTCCCATCCTAAGATTATACAAATATTCTTCTTTTTTCTTTTAGTACTTTATGGCATCTTTTAAAAATGTGTTTATCTTTTTAATCTGCTTGAAATTTTTACATATAGTGTGAGAATAAACTCCCAGCTCCCCACCCCCACCGCCCCGCAAATTGACAAAAAGCCAAAGAGGAAAAAAATGAGCAAACACAGCCCCAGAATTAAGGGGCTCAGAGTCTCACAAGATGCAGGGAAGAATGTAAAATGGCCATCAAAGGGACAGATCAGGCTCCGAGCAGGAGAGTGCTCCAGCTAGAGAGAAGAGAGGCTATCAGTTAACACTGGAGTTCAACTTCAGTCTCTTGCAACAACTTAAACTCAATTACATTTTACCTGGCTGCTGTGAAGTACTGAAGATTAGGAAGAGCTTAGAATGATCCAAAGACTCATTTCCCTACCAAGTTTTGAGAACCAAGCCTTGTCTCCAAATCTACACTTCCCCATCCTCCCTGTAGTTGGAATCGCCTGGAGAGCCTAGACAGAGCCCTGAGCAGCTCCTGGCTCCTCCATCTTGTCATTCGCCCCGAGGGTTCTAGGAGGACTTCCCTGGGAAAAAGACTCCCTGCCCACCATCAGTACCTAACAACTCCCACCCTCAGAGTTACATTTCTTCAGGAAGCTGGTGCCAACGCCAGTCCTGCTAAGGTGACAGGGATGGAATTTCTGGAAATAGCCATGTGAGAGACAGTGAGGGCCAAGAATTTATGCTAAGCAGAGGGCACATTTTCACTTCTGAGCAATGTAAAAAGCGAACTATGTAACAATTTCTGTCCCCGTTTTTTGGGGCACAGGAAGCGTAGGCTGCTACAACACTATCAATTTAGTTTCCCAGGCTATCTTCACCTTGAGAGACTTAATCAGAAAGAAACAAAGAAATGCCTCAAGCCTTCAAATACAGAGCACTGGTCTCCTCAGAACAACACTTTGCCCCCTCAGTGAGCGTTCCAGTTATAATGCGGCCCTACGTGCACAGCACAGGTGTATAGTCAGGTCTCGCTCTGGCCAGGAGGAGACGGGGGGCCTAAGCTGCTGCAGATACTGCCAAAAGGTCACTTATGGGGACAGGTGACTCCCCACACACCCCACCTAACTGTGCTTTGGGTAAAGGGACTCGAAGTGCTTTGGGGTGCCACATATGCCTGAATTGAAATATTTTTTTTTTAAAAAAAGACATTCTTTATATTGCAATACAAATTTCAATTAAAAATGTTATTAGCTATGCTTAAAAAATATAACACTCACCCCCACAATGTATTACAGACCAACTGATCAGTTGCCTGACAGGATCACATGTTGGTATGCAGCATTGGGCAGTGGTGTGAGCTGCATGCAAACATGCTATAGACTAGCTGGGCTGTAGCTCTGCAACTACCATTTTAACTGAGCATGTCTGTGCACACAGAGCCCCACAACCAAGTGCATTCCACAACACACACGCTTGTACTCAACGTATGACCCCAGGCCCCAGCCATTTGACTTTAAGTAAAAATTCCCCATTGAGCGATTCAAGCCTCAACTTTAACTGAAGAGAGATCCAAGATTATAAATTGCAAAGAAATCTGTTACCATTTACAGCCTAAGTACTTTGCAACTAAAACAAATGACAGATGCAGATGCCCAGGCTGATGTTAAGATGGTAACAGTTCCATCATGGCTCCTGATTTCAAATTTTAAAAAGGGTCTTTGTTCTAGCCAACTGGTTTTAAAATAAGAAAATCACATAAATGCTACTTTTGAAGAGAACTGAGAGCAGCTGGTACTGGCTAGCACCTGGGGCACCTCATCATGGGTCATCACTCTTCTTGGCCCTTTACTTTCATGGCACCATCTCCTACATTCCTCAAGGGCTGGGGTGATCACCCTTCAGCTCACAAAAGAGGAACTGGGACACAGAGAGGTTAGATGCCTGACTTGGAATAAACTGACGGGAAACAACAGGATTGAGAGATAAACTCGGCTCTGCCTGCCTCCCAGATCCACAGTTAGATAGCCTACCACAAAATGGGGTACTGGAATTCTCCCTGGGACTCCATTTCAGTGAATTGGAAAACCTCTGCTCTGGGGTTCTGGGATGAAGTCTGTCACTGAGGGTCCAGGAGTATGGAGACATGGCTATCTAAAGAGAGACAGTATAGTAATAGGCCCAGTGCCTTCTCATTGCAACCTAGGGCCCCCAGATATCCCATCTCAGAGTTGGTTGGGAAAGAACCAGTGCTTTCTTTCCTTGCCATTAAAATCCACATTGCAAAAGAATGAAGCTGGACCTCTACCTCACATCATATACAGCTCAAAATGGATCGACCTAAACATAACAGCTAGAACTATAAAAAAAACATAGTTGTAAATCTTTGTGACCCTGGATTAGGCAAGACATGATGCCAAAACATAAGTGACCAAAGGAGAAAAAAATAGATAACATGAACTTCATCAAAATCTAAAAAGGAACTATCAAGAAAAGGAAAATCTCCACAATGGGAGAAAATATTTGCACATTACATTTCTGATATGGATCTACCATTGGAAATATATAAAAAACTGTAACTCCACAAAAAAATACAAGTAACCTAATTTTTTTAAGTGCAAAGAATTTTAATACATTTCTCCAAAGATATGCAAATGACAAGCACCTGAAGAGGCTCAACATCACTACTCATTAGGGAAATGCAAATCAAAACCACAATGAGATATCATTTCATAGCCACTAGAATGGCTATCAAAAAAATGAACAGAAAAAAGTATTAGTAAAGATGTGGGGCAATAATGTATACATTGCTGTTGGGAATGGAAAATGGCACCACTGCTAAGGAAAAAAATTCAGCAGCTCATCAAAGAGTTAAACAGTTACCATATGACCCAGTAATTCCACTAGTATATACTCAACAGAAATGAAAACATGTCTACACAAAAACTTCTATATGAATGCTCATGGCAGCATTATTCATAATAGTCCCAAAGAGAAAACAATCCCAATGTCCATCAACTATGGACATCTAAACAAGATTTAGTCCATAAAAGGACAAAAGTACTGACTTATGCTACAATATGAAGGGACCTTGAAAACATTATGCTAAGTCAAAGAAGCCAGTCACAAAAGGCCATATACTTTTGATTCCATTTATATGAAAGTATGGAAACAGAAAGATTAGTGATTGCTAGGGGCAGAAGAGGATGGGAAATGATTGTGAATGGGTGTGGGGTTCCTTTTTGGGGTGATGGAATGTTCTGGTAACAGAACATAAATATTGGTGACAGATGCACAGCTTTGTGAATTTACTAAACACCTGGGAATTGTATACTTTAAAAGAATGAATTTTATGGTATATGAATGATGTCTCAATTTTTAAAAAATCCACATCACAGCCAAATAGGGTTCCCTGGGTCCACCCTGTCCAATGTCAGCCCCACGAGAGGTAGAGCATCCTGGGAATAATTTCAGAGAGGACACTGATGGGACAGAGGTTAAGAGACATAATTCTCTAAGAGCTCCCAGTCTTGCAGAAAAGGCTGACGAATCTTTATGCCCTGTTTGTTCAAACTCATTTGAAGATCTAATCTAGTGGTTCCAGATCGGGTGCAATTTCGCCCACCAGAGGGCTATCTGGCAAAGTCTGGAGACATTTTTGGTTGTGATAACTGGGTGGGGGAGGTGCTACTGGCCATCTAGTGGGTAGAGGCCAGAGAGATGCTGCTGAACAATACACAGAACAGCCCCCAGAACAATTATCCAGCTCCAAATGCCAACAGTGCCACTAATGACAAACCCAGATTTAATGAGTCCATTACTTTTTTAACTCCTTGAATTTATATAACCCAGGGACCTGTTTGTAAGAGTAATTTCAAATACGTTCACACTGCTACAAGCATTAGAGCATGACTCAAATTGGAACCACACACATGGGCCAGCCCCAGGCCCATCGTAGACAAACCTATCTCCAAAGAGCAGTCCAAAAATCTAACACCCAGAGACAGCTACTACTAGTATTTTGTTGTATAACCACCTAGAATTTCCCTGGACATATTCATGTAAATGTTTTTAAAATATAAAATGGGATCATATTCTACATTGTTTTATGGTCTGCTCTTTTCCTATGTCAACAAATCCTTAGACACACCATCATTTTTATAGCAGAATAATACCCAATTATCTGGTTGTATTCTTTTGATTTTTTTTTTTAAATCATTTCCTGGACTTTTGTTTTCAGTATCTTGCTACAATCTTGAAATGACTACCTTTGCACCTAAATCCCTTCTGCAGTTGCCTGATTTTTTTCCTTAGAATTCTAAGAAGTGGAATTGTTAGCTGTTTTTAATGTTTTGGTTTCTCACTGCCAAATTTCCCTCCTTGAAGCTTGACGATTCATCCTGTCACCAGCAGCCCATGAAAACTGTTCTTTTATCCAGAAGGGAATGCAGAGTTGCTCCATAACATACTCCCATCAGAGGAAGCTATCTACCCTCACTCCCAACTCAGATCCTGACGATGCCCCAGGACAGCAATATTCTGCCAACACAGACTGATCCCTTAGTCTTGAGCTGTAGACCAACAACTCAACACTAGTCTATGCTAGGTGCTAGCTGTTTCTAATCTATCCCCATCCATTTGGATGGAAACCTAGCGTAAACACCTACAGACCGTTTTTGCTACCCAAAATGCCTGTGGTGGAAAACCTCTCTGTGGCCACGGGGTATCTAATGTAAGGCAAATCTGTTAACAAACATACTTCTGCCCAGATCCCATCCCCACTAGGGTGATGTTCCTCTATATTCTAACCTCAGGATTAAACTCCAGCCAATGTCTCCTCAAAGCTGAGGTCTACACTGGTTTGTTGCTTTGAGCTTAGGTGGTTGTGGGCTTGTGGGCAAAAGAGAAAACCTAAGAGGAACTTACATAGAACTGAAAATGCAAGAAATGGGCCAGCACTCTGGGGGCTACACCAGGGAAGGTGGTCAGCAGTGTCTGGAGGTAGATCTCCAAATCTTTCTCCCTCTTTTCCACCAAGCTTCTTGAGTTTTTCCCAATTATCTTTTTGGGAGGAAGTAGATTTTTATCAATCTTCTTCTCTGCAACAAGCTGTAAGAAAACATAAACATGTCAACCACAGACAAGAGGTTCTGCAACTAGACAAGACCAAGGCAAGAAGCCTGAGGGTAGGTGCTTGTCATAACTTCCCCAGCACCTCATGGCAGCAGTATCAGGATTAGTAACCAAACCAGTGCATCTGGGCTTGGCCTCATTAAGTTGTTAGTATTAGAAATACCAGTACAATTCTAGACAGAGAGCTCCATGTGGAGACTCTGGAAACATTCAGAAAGAGAGACCTCCAGGTCTCTAAAATCTCCATCTTTTCCAAACCAAAGCAAAAAACAATCCGGGTGGTGGCCTGTCTTTAAAACATTTGGGCTGCAAATGACCCAGAAAAAGGCATCTCTCTCCAAAATCAAAGAAAGAAATGGAATCACAGCCAATTTTAAAGTACAGGCCGTAGAATAGTTATAGTCAGGTCGAACAAGTTCAAACCTGTTCCCTCCCCAGGAAACTGTCCCGGGATCTCACATCCAAGCTAGGACTGGCAATCTTAAAACTGAAGTTCACATATGCTCCTTGTATACCATCTCATGGTAGGGCTGAATTCCCAGGACCCACCAGTTTTGTTTTTTGTTTTTTTGTTTTTTTGCAATTATGTTAATAAACTGGTTTGTTAAAGAACACTATAGGCATGGAGGCTGTTTTGCCCTACAACTAAAACGTGGCACAATGAGACCCTGGCCTAAAAGCCTCCAAGCCCTGAGACACAGGTCTCCCAGCTCTCAAGGGTTACCTTTTCATGTAAGTCATAGAAGTCGCTATAGCGGTGCTTGACTGTCCATTCATGGTTCCCATCAGTGACCTGGATGATATAAACCTAAAAAGGAAAATGGGCAGCCCTTGCCTAGTCAGCAACAAAGAGAGCCCCGCCCCACCCCCAGCAATAGCTGCAGGACACCTAGACCCTCTCAACCCTCAGGCCAAAGTTGGGTTGTTCTTCTCCACCAGTCTTTGCACTTGACTCTTGCTGCACAGCAGGGCCCCCTATCAGCCTCCTCCATGGCCCTAGCACTGGATTCAGCAGGCGCACGGGGTAAGTCTGTGGCTTTACCTATATTGTATTAAGCCATCTCTTTAGTTTTTTACCTCCAATCTCCAGGTAATTCAAAGCTCAATCCAACCTGAGCTGCAGGCAAGGCCACCCCTTTCAAGGGAGGCAGAACAGGACCAGGTCTGGCAAAGCTAGCTTCTCTGCTGTATGTTTTCCCAGGTGCTGTGCTCATATCCTGGAAAGAAGCCCTTTTCCAATCCTTTTGGCTGGGTCATAGCTGTGATTGCTGCTGAGCCAGGAATCAAGGCACTAAGAAGCTGATGGAAAGGTGGCGGGGGGGTGGGGGGGCAGTGATGGACTATTAAGCCCTAACAGAAGGCAAATGGCTTAGTGGTTAGGGGAATGGGCCTTGGAGTCAAGAAAGACCTGGATTCAAAGCCTGACTGCCATTTCCTGGCTGTGGCTTATGTATGAGTCACTGATATAAGTGACAGGGAGCCTAAGTTTTCTCTGAGCCTCAGTTCCTCCATCTTAAGATCTGCTAAGAATCAAATAAGGAAAAGCATGCAACATGCTTTGTACAAGGCCTGACATGCAGCAAGTGTTCAATGAAAAGTAGGCATGCTAATAATATTCAACTCAGCACATCCAAAGACAAAATGGTAGGGTCTGCATGGATCACATTCAGGGAGGGGCTCAGCCCTGCAGAATAAAGAGCTTTTCAGAGCTGACCCTCCAGCTGAATGTAGCCCATGGGTGCCATCAGCCTAGAGATCTCAACCATCATCTGGAGGAGGACCCCTGGTCCTAATGCCCCGCCCCTCTCTGCAGCAAGCAGGGGAGGGGGCGGAGAAAACTCAGCTGAAGCGTCCACAGAGGAGCAGCCATTTCTCTAGGGCTTGTTGCTCCAGGATCCGCCCCCAGACCCTATTCCCAGCCTGGCAGCTTCCCTCCCCCTCCTCCCGCCCAAAAAAGGAGAAAGAACCAGAGGAATGACCAACAGTTGGAGGGTTAGGATGAAGGCCAAGGGGGTGGGGCGAAGGCAGGGCCAAAGCTCCCCACCCTCTGGGAACAAAGGACAGGAGGCTAGGAGGTACCCAATACGCCCCCACCCCACAGCCAGACCCTGCAAGGCAGCCTACCAGACCCACAGGCCTGGCGTCTAACCCCATCTAGACCCAAGAGGGCTTCTATCACAGCCCAGCACTCCCCCGCTTTTCTATCCTTCATTTCTCCCATAGCCTTGAAGTGTGCGTTTTTGCCCCAACTCGCCCCCAAAGGTTCCTGGGTCTTGCACTTTCAGCCTGAGCGACTCCCTCCCTCCACCCCTCCCTCTTGTCTCTACCTAGCCCTCAGGGCCTCGGAGCCCCAGTTGCGCCCTGCTGTAGCAAATATCAACTGCGACCCCAGGCTCCCTAGATCAAGGTCCCGCCCCCTCTCCTTCATGGCCTGCGGGGCCCTGACACTCCTGATTACATCCAGCATACACCCCTCCCTAGTCCCCCTCCTCCTGCACTCTCCCTCATATCTTCCCAGGCTGGCGCCCCACCAGGCCTAAGAGGATCTAGAGGCTCCTCTGCTTTATCTAGACCACTCTTCTCCCCGTACCCTCTTTATCTCCAGATCCTCTTCAACCCTAGCTTTCTTTCCTGCACACGTACCCTTTCCCCAAACCTCTCTCTGGGTCCCACCCTAGGACCCTCTTCCCGGACCTACGGGGCCGAGATCCCTTACCCAGACGCCCCGATCTCAGACTCCCTCCTCGAAATCGCTAGCCCTCTATCCATTTCTCCCTGGTCCAGACCTCCAACCCAATCCTTCCGAGTCGGAATCCAGGTTTCAGCCGCCAGCCTGGATTCGGGGGCCCGCGTCCTCAGCATACCGTATACGTGTCCACAAGCTCAGAGCCCACGACGCGCGCCACTTTGGCCGGCTCAGCCTCCCGCTCGGCCACGAAGCTGCACGCCGCAGCCGCCATGTTCCGGGCTCCTCCGCCGCCCGGCGCAGACTGGCAGCAGCAGGGGGCGGGGACAGCGTCGGCCCGCCCCTCGGATCTCCCCGCTCCCCGCCCCTGCCGCGCACCGCGCCGCCATCTTAGCCCCGGGGCCTCCTCGCGCCTTCGTCCCTCCCCTCGCGCATAATTGACAGCAACCACTCACGGCGCGCGTGCGCGGGCCACGCGGGCTTGTCCGCCTACGTAGTGTGTACCAGGTTGGCGCCGCCCGCCGAGCTCCTCGCAGCCAGGCAGATACTGAGGCTTTGGGTGGGTAACGCTAGGCGTTACCATTCGCCGCCGGGGAGGGAGGACAGAAAGCCCCATACCTCTCGGGCTACTCGAAGCAAGTTACTGTTCAGTCTGGCCTCAGTTTCCCCCTTCGGAAAAGGGAGGTAGTAATCGCGCCTCACCTGGCTCTTGGACTCATTCTGGATAGGGCACGAGGAGGTTGAAGAGGATATGAGCTGTGCTTAGAGCCAAAACAGGGACAGAGTAACTCTGTACCAGTTCTTATCCACTCCAAGATTTGGAGATCTCCTCTGTCACATGGGCTGCTGGAGATCTGAGTAGATTAATAAAGGAAGTGCCCCGTTCACAAGGCAGGGAGCTGGTGTGGTTGTCAAAAGCGGGGGAGGGGCTGCCTTTACATGGTGGCAGTGTGAAGATGGAAGGAAGAGAGATGTGCCTGCCATTGAACCCAGGACTCCCACATAGTGTCCTACAGGAGCTTGAAACAATGGGGCTACAGACTGGCCCTGGACCCAGAACTACAGTGCTGTAATGGGAAGCACAGACACAGAGACAGAGCCCTAACCCAGAGACACAGAACTAGAAGAGGGAGATGGTAGCCCAGCTGGAGGGGAAAGGGAAAGAATCTGGCACAGATGCGGCATTTGTAGGTGTGTTTGTTGGCTGTCTGAGTGCAGCTGCCTTAAGCCCAGAAGTAGTATAATCTGATGAGATGAGCGGTCTGGGGTTTGGCTCCTCTGGCACACCTGGCTTAAGGGCTCCACACTATTCTGTCATAAGGTGACTTCCTTCTCCACCAGTTCTACAGCACTGTACTCAGAGCTTAGTGTTCAAGGCTTCTCTTAGCAGGGCCCCATACTCCCAAGCTTCTCCTCCCATACGGCTGCCACCCAACTGCAGAGAAGTTTAAAGCAGGGGCTGCCAAGTCAGCGAGACCTTGGGCAAGTCACCACCCCTCCAGGAGCCTCAGTTTCCTTATCTGGAAAGTGGGATTAATGTTACCCACCCCCCTAATTGGATGGAAGGCTGAGCTGCTATGTGTAGGGGTCTGGCCTGGGCCCCACTACTTTGCAGCTCCTGTCCTGCCCTGGATTCATGTTTTCATTCACCTAAGAAAACTTTCCAGAGAGTCCC